CGATGTCTTCAGCTCGGACACCCGACGGGTCGTTGTCGGCTGGCAACGGCACTGAAGCGCCATCTGCTTCAGATGTTGCTAGAGCAGCAGCTGGCACAAATGCTGCGACAACTGGTGTTCCTCGGGTTGTGTCAGGAGTGTAAAAACCACCACGTGGCGGTTAGCACTGGTCAACAGCAGGTGGATGTCGTCGGGGAGATCTGAACGAGTTCTCCACGGTGCGCCGAGCGACCCGTCCTCATGTTCCTTAATCCGGTCATGCAACGACGATCATTCTTCAGTGTTAGTTGGTGTTTCCTTGTCGGAGGAATGTTCTTGTACCATGTCCAGTAAATGGCTCAAAAATGAACTAAAGATATGCAACGTGATCGACCAGTGATGGGTCGATTTTTTTCTTTTTTCTTTCGTGAATTCCTCGTCAAGTATTTAGCCTAAGGCGATGTGTTGGACGTAATCTGAAAGAGCACGTCAAGATCTGTCACATACACACACACACCTAAACACAATGGATTTAGACAGTTCGTGATGACGTAAATAATTTCGCAAGTTGCAAAATTTACATTGACGACCAGTTTATACTTGAATTAAGTATGGAATAGGGTTGTGTAAAAAACAGACGAGCAGACTGGAATTTATAAAATGATAAAGGAATATTATATTTGAACAGGAATAAGATATTGCGGAACTTACTGCACTTTCTCTCTTATATTCGGACACTCTACCGTACCACGTGGCAATCTTCAGCAGCTGGGTCAAACTCACACCAAAATAAAGGCAAGTTCCAGGCCATGTATTTTCCCTGCATAGTATGGGCGCACCACCACCATTTCATAGAGAGGCAAGCAAATTTAGTTTCTCATTTTACAATTTTCCTTCCCTAGTGCCCATTGCGGGTGCCTGCAGCGTAATGTTCGTCATCACCAAGTGCGCCTGCGTCCGCTTAGTACCCCAGGCTGTAATCCTTCTCTACAACGGAAGTCGGTAAGGGGGCAGGGCAATGGTTAGCCAGTGAAGGTTATTCTTCGAGGTGGGCACGGTGCTTTTGGAAACTTGTGATATCCCCCAAGTATTAATAAATATTGTTTTCTCGTCTTGTGTTCACATTAATAATAAATAGCACCAACGTTACCGAACGCAATGACATAAGCAAAAATCGTAAATCAAAATATCATTTACCACCTAAACAACACACTTTACTACTCAATCGTCATTAATGTTTGCGATCGGCAAGACCACATGCTCTTGCGAGTTCTTCTTCTTGCGCTTAGGCTTCGGGGCAACTTGAGCTTGAAGCAATTCGTGGTAGTCAGCCGTAATGAACTTGCCACTTACTGTCAATGTCTTTCTCGCGGCAGTCTTGCGCTTCTTCAGTGCAGGCAAGAGCAGAACTTCGCCACGGACAAGCTCACGCCTTTACAGCCAAGACTCATTCACTTCATGGGTAGCAGATGGCTTGAACAGAGACAAACGATACATCATCTTGTCCAACGACATCGGACACAATCCCGTACACACAAACCTATTGATGATGGCGGCTTAATTGGTCGAATTGGCCCAAACGTCGCAGGCAATAGCGACGGCGCGTTGCTTGTTGATGTTCGTTGACACATCGGTCCAGATGGAATCGGCGACAGCTTTTCGAATTGCTTGCTTAAAAGGCCGAAACACTGTCATGTCGAGTGGTTGGAACAGGTGTGTCGCATTCGCCGGCAGAAATTGCAGCAAAATGTTCAAGGCTTTGGCTTCCGCGTAGATGTGTTCGTAGTAGTGCGACGAGCAGCCATCCATGATCAGCAAAATCGGACTCTCTGTGGACGGTGGAACATTTGCGCTGAGCATGGCAAGCCACTTGCGACAGATGTAGGGGTTTGTCCACCCTTTTTCAGATGTTGCTAGAGCAGCGCCAGGGATTGTGAGACTGGAACAAGCTTCGGTAGTCACTCTGTCACCAGGGAGAACAAACAGCGGTTGCATCTCGTTCCATCTGCGGCAACACATGCAACAATTGTTACATGTGCGCAGGCAGGTGTTTCCTCGGCATGTACACATCTTGTTGACTAGTGGACAACAACCTTCTTTGACGTCTTCGAAGGAGAAAAGCTGGTCTCGTCGATGTTGAAAATACGGAATGGGTCCATGTTGACAAGCGACAATGAGTGAGCGAGGCCATGAAAGAAATGAATGACCGTAGCGCAGTCAACCGCATTGCGAGGCTTGCTGAGGACTTGGGCCTACGTGACCTTGAGGTGAGGGTGACAATCAAGGAATTTCTTGTACCAGCCGGTCGACAACTTCGCATGCTGAGGTGTATCATGTACGAGCTCGAGCATATGGGTTGCATGCTAGATAATTTCGCGAGAGCCGATCGGATGACCGTCTTGTTCCATTGCGAGGATCCACGTGGCCAAATCCTCTTCGAACTGCCGTTGCAGTAAAGGCATCGGTCCCATAGTCACCACCGCATTGGTTGTGATGCAGGCTTTAGCACTACCCACATGTTTCCGAAGTGTCCGTTGCGGAATGTCGTATGCACTCGCAGCAAAAGGTAGTCAATGGGCTTGGGATAGGACTGCCTGAACGGCTGCTCTCATGGTGTCATCGGTGTACGGCGTTCGAGGAGGCATTTTGTTATCAATTCAAACTCGAAAACCTTTTAAATACAATTATTTTTCCCACCATAAACTTTTACAAGATTATTGGCATGAGAGGTTCTGTTTTGTCCAATAATACAGCTCGAACGATTTAATTGGATGAAATAAATCGGCACATCACTGAAGATTCGGCACATCACTGGTCGGTCACGTTATGTTTTGTTTCCCGCTTCTTCTTGGCTTTTGGCCACGGGACCTACGTCAAGGTAGAAAATATGACCTGACATTAGTCAGGTTGAACACACCACAAGGCGCCTACTGACTACCATTCACTAAATTACTCAGTACCTTCACTAAGGTATCGAAACCTTTGACACGACACACACAATGTTTTGCAATGGGTCAAACCGACGCGCAACCATATTCCTCTGCACACTGGAGAACACGGCTGCACAATAGTCATGCACGAAACCTGTCGACAAGCATCATTCACCTCCTTGTCACCAGGTGTCCGTGTTTGGCTTTGTCTTGTTGGAACTTCATGGATGTCGGTGGCGCGGGCCATACCGCCCGAATTGCACTAATGACGTTGACAACAAGTATACGTCGGTACATGTCACAGGTAACGTTGACACAATGCATGACAGGATGCCCCGCCGTGCGGTTGTGACTGCTATGCTGCGCAGGTACGATTTCCGTCAAATGCTATATACCGATTTTGCCGTCCCACATGTATTGTTTGGCTTCGTCTTAGCGAGGTCACAACCGCAGAGATGATCATGACCTTCACAATGTGGTGTTAAGACTTGAACGTCCGGCGCAGAGACTCCTCGCCTTGGACAAAGTAATAAAACTTCGTGATCCACGTCGTGAATAATCACTTCTCTTTAACGTGTACGTAGTCCATGAGGTCGTCGACGTCTGGAATGACGTCAATGTTGTGTACGTGGTCCACTTGAGGCGCGCGGCTTGGTTTTTGGGAGTCAGGGTTGGCTTGGTGACTTTACATAGACGCCACATTTAAGGCACCTGTGTAGTGTAGATGATGGAATTCACATTGCCGAAGCGAATGCCTTGATCGTCGTGCGTCGTGTCTTTGGAACTTGATGCATTTGTTACTGCGATGTCTAGACAAAGTAAAGTACCAATGGCGTATGAGCCAATTATTGTGCTTTGCAACTTATTTGGCATAATCGACCTCACAAATCTGCCGATTAATACGGACTTCGCGACGGATTGAAGCCGATTTAGATTATTTCGGCCGAGATAGAAATATGTCATAACGTTACCCAGATTTATCAATCTTTGCCCAGAATTGCAGTTTGCAACTGCAATTCTGGTGAAACTTGTTATTCTGCCCGACTTCAAACTTGAAACTTGGTATTCTCGTTGACTTCAATATAGATATTGACTGTGAGTAGAACGATGTTGGAGTTTCGAACTGGACCAGAAGAAGCCAAGAATTGTTTGTAATTACTGAATGCATTTATTTCGGGCTCAGCATCAGTCCTTGCAATGATTGACATGCACTGCTGTCCTCCATACCAAACTTAAAACGAGACAGATTTAGTGTTTATTAGGGAGATTTCGGAGAAGACATCGCTTTTTCTTTTTCCGTAAAAATTGAAGCAAAGTAAAAGCAAGGGATTATATATCGACGATTTCGATGATAACAATTTTTCCCTATCCGTAGTCTAGATGGAGCCAAATTCGTGGACTTCTTGGATGATCGGCGAGGTCATTGTGAAGTCGTCTCATGGGTCATTCGCCGTTGAAGCTTTGGGGCTCAATCAATTCAATGCTTCGTATGCCTCTGTCGTAGGGACGACAGAGGCATACGAAGCATTGAATTGATTGAAACTCGTCTTGTGTTAGTTCAGTTGTTCTATCTGTAGGACGTTCGGAAAGGCGTAGCCACGAAGGCAAGGAGTGGCTGGCATCTAAAGTAGCACGCCTCGGCAACTGGCGCCAGCTGCAGAGGAGTGCTTCTATACTAGTCTAGTACTTATCTGGTGCTTTTAAGATATCGTTGATAGCCACTGGTACAACTCCGGCTGGATGTACTGCTAGGTGCGGCCGACTAAGCTGAGGTGTCGGGCGCCGCCAAATATGCTTTTCGTAATTCCTACAAGTGAATACTTGTAATGGTGCACGGGATTCTACGGCACTATGCATAAATATGGAGATTATCATTAACTTGTTCGCTCTCACCGCACCTCTGATCGACCTCCACTTCATGTGGGTCATGCTCCACGCTTGCACGCTCCATTCAAATCATCAAAACCCCTAAATAACAGATGTTGAAGCTGCATGAAGTTGGGGTTGGTACTGGGGCTCGATGGAGCCGGCAAGACGATGCTGTTGCGACAGCTTAGCCACATGCGCAAGGACGAATTCCACAACACCAAGCTGGGCTCCGTCTTTGAGAAGGTACGCACCCGCCTGTTCGCGGACTCTGCTTCTGCTGCCGAAGTCGACGGCATCGACGTCGCGACCCTACCAACGACAGGTGTCCGTCACCAATCCTTCTCCCATGTGTGCGTCACGTGCTTACATAAACTAGGAGTGGAAGAAGAGACGAACGCATACCGCAACTTGGCATATGGACCAGCTTTCCAGCAAATCCAATACAAATGTGCAATTGTTGAACGTACATCTAAAAAATACAAATCATATGTTAGGAGTTGATTATCATCACTTACCCTGGGGATAATAATAAATAATTAAGTTTTTTAACCTCACTGTTAATGGCCACAAAAAATGTCAGAGTGCAGAATCGAGTTGACGCGGATTTTGGCGCGCGTGCTGCGGTTCACGGAGGCGGGGCTTTGGATCTTTAGGCAAACCGAGAAGCTCGTTATACGGTCGTTGTGCCGAAGCAGCAGCTACGATGGCGTGTCCGGTACGAACTGCATGCAGGTAGTGCATCAATCTTCCGAATGATTCGAGTTATATCCAATCAGATTCCTCTAATTTGTCGTAAACATTACTGATTGGTAGTGATAATATTCATGACAGTAATTTTATATTTGGAGTTGAAATACTAATTATAATCCCGCCAAACTACATTAATAGCGTTACTGGTAATGATGAGCACGGGCGTCGAGCTCGTGGAAGTTGCATCGGTCGAAGGCGATTGCCATCGCTTCGACTGCGTTCGTTGACCTTTCCAAACCAAAGGTGAACAGTAAAACCCCCACATTGGTTCAAATGGATTTCGTACCTGTGGTGTGTGGTCGATGTCGTTGCCTCGCATGTTCTCTCGCATATACATGCAAAAAGCAAGTGGAATAAAGGACGCCGTTGGCACGGAATCGTGGATGAAGAAGGGAAGGGGTACGCGAAGACTTTCTGTCCTTACCTGCGAAGCCAGTTGTGCGCACACGTGTCAAGACGAACGTCGAGTGGCATTCCATCGAGCACCTTCATGTGGCCGCAGCGAAACGGCAAAAGCGGAAGTGAATTATTTTACTTGTAGTTTTTAAATTTGATCCAAATTTACAGTTAATTAATGAAACTTTGAATCCAGTGTTGAATGACACTATCATATTGAATCGAATTTTAATTCGTATTATAATTCAATGTATACAAATCTCCTGATATTTGAAACCGTTCGGGGAATATATGCACGTTAAAACTCATCATCCTTATGTTTCATCATGTCAATTAGCCTACAAATATTAAATCATGTCAAACCACTATTGCTTCATATGTAAAATATAGTCCTTGAATTATATTTTCTTTCTATGCTAAATCCTCAATCTAATCAAATGGCAATCGTAAGCAATCAGACTTTAAAAATTCGACAAAATCTGCTTCAAAAACCGTTCGGATGATTGATGCGTTACCTTATCATTCCGAGCCATATTAACGCTAAATCTGTCCCAGATAAAGCTTGCGTTTTGACAGAAATACAGATCATGTGAAGCTGAGTAAGATCCTAAATATGACCGCCAAATAAGTTGCAAAGCACAATACTAACGACAATGTCGTGTAATGTCGTGTTGGTATATCCAAGCCACAGTGGTGATCTATACTACGACATCACCACAGGTCTACAGTAGATCATATGATGCTTCGTCGTGCATGAGTTTTCTGAATAAAAATACGACCTCGACGAACATTATATAAAACCATCCATGCATACTTTATTTCATAAATTTTGAAACGCACAATATCCTTACTCTTTTTGTGATAACTACGGAGAATATATAAAACTAAGCCAATCACTGATCTTTAAATTGGAAAAGCGCCAATCACAGAACCTCTGAATATGTAATCTCGTAGCCATACAACACTGAAGGTTAAAACAATAGGCATACCACATTATAGAGAGGTACAGCATATATGAAGAGCTGTATACAGCTCAATTGTGGGAAATACATTGCACGTTGATAATTGGTGGATTACCCTGAACGTTGTCTACAATTTAGGGCACTTTAGGATTCAAAAACGATGCCGCAATCAGGAATTATGGCCATTCTCCGAAAAACCAAAAATTTGTATTGCAACAATTGGCATTCTACGTTAACGTTACTTGGCTTTCTCCCACGTGCTTTCTCCCACGTGTGCCTTTCTTGCGCGACGAAACGTTAACGATGCTCGCAACCACAGATGGTTCGTAGTCCTTGGGTTACACTTACTGTTAACCTGCTGCAACGTTCTTGACAGTCCCGCAGAAAATGAAACCGTCGATGGAGAGCCAGTTTATCGTTGGCCAGTTTATCGTTGGTCGAATATATCGCCGTCTGAGTGAAATATATTGACGAAAAGTGAAATTAAACAATTGATGCTTGATTTATACCGCTGGCTTGGTGAAATATAAACTTGAAGTTTGAGGTCGCCAGTAAATGGAGGTGGTCGAAATATATCGGTGGTCTTGTGATTTATCCTCAAGATAAGCGAAATATCGTGAAAACAAAGGTGTAATGCTATAAATACTAACGTTAGTACTATTCTTATTTAAATTATTTAAAGGTACTACATTGTATTATGCATTTTTCACTTAAAAAAGTAAAAATAATAATCTAGTAGAATAAAAAGCACTATATCAAGCAATAATATTAGACAAAAAAGATGAAAA